GTGGAGACATGGATGACCCATCTCCGTATGAACCTGTAGCACCACACCATGACGCATTCCGCTTGGCCTCCATCTCCTCAGGTATCACAGCTCTGATCTTTCCACTGAACTCTTGGTTGTTTATCATATGAGTGTAAATATGTAAATGTTTGTTCTAGAAAAGGTGAAAATAAGGTTTCTTAGAGATAAAAAAAAAAACAAAAAAAACAATGGTGTGGTCTAAAGAGCCTGTGTCGATCTTTCCTCGCAGGCATTCCACCAGTCAGCTGTTCTTGGCCTTCGAATAAATTGTCTGCTCTGTGTCTTGTGACATAATATGATTGTTGCGGGCTTGTGAGGTAAACTATATGCTCTCAGTGTACTACTACACTTTTTTCCCAGTTATTGATTTTGTCTTCATTTTGATTTCCTCTTTGGTTTACTAATTAAGCAGTCTAGGACTCAGCACAGGAGCTATGGCTTGCTATTTAATTTACTTGTTATTACTGCCATGGTATCTCTAATCAATGCAGATCTTATTATAAGACACAGTGGTTAATGCAGTGCAGAGAAGTAAGTTGTACCAGGTGTGACTGGACAGAGGGACAACCATTATCCATTGTCAGAGCTACAGGCTACAGTCACTCGGATCTACTTCTGACAGGAATTTCTGGAGGATTTTCTCTCCTTTTTTTTTTTTTTTTTTTTAGCACATTTTCATTTTCTCCTAGCTGATGTATTTTGCTTTGTTTTATAACTGGGACGTACAAGAAAGGCACGCTTTTTGTGTAATCCCCTTAGCTTGAAGACAGCAATGTATCACTTGTTTTTGGAAATGTGCTTGTTTGATACATTCAAAGAAGGAGAGCATACCAAAATAAATATGAAAGAGTGCAGGCTTTGATTACTTTGGTGTTTTGTGCGGTGATGCCAAACTTCCTTCTCAGATTTGAGTGCATATTCATCTAGAAAGCATTCCGAAATTGCATTCTTTGGATAAGGCTGTACAGCTCTCAAAATGTGTTATTTGAATGATAGAAAATGTTTAGAAATTGCTTTATATCTTTAGTTGAGATGTGCACCACAATATTTATTTATTTAGTTTTTATTAGAACAAATGAGTGTGATCACCGAGTAATGGCCATTTCAGTTTATCATTGTTATAACGTGACCCATTGCAAAATCGCTCAGAGTCAATTTGTGCACGTGTCTAAATACTGTATGGCACTAATTATACAGTGTCCTCAAGAATCACTGTAGTATATTTCAAATAACTGACATAGTTGATAATTAGGCAAACAGTCACAAAAAAGCATGAAAGATTAAAAACAAGAAACCTTTTTTCCAACGGCACATGTTGGAGTATCTGTGCCAAAACCAGCCAGTAGTCTTGAGATTGCTGACTATCAATCAGGATAAAAATCCAAAAGTACAGTTGCTTATCTTTAGCTTATCAGTGTATGAGTATAAGTATAAAGACAAGGAAGCAGTACATCGCCCCTAGACACACTGAGATACAACAGGGAGCTCATAGCTGTATCCATTTTGCTTCAGCTTTGTCATCTATTCTCTCTGAGGTGAAATGTTGGATTTTGCTTTCCGAAATCCAACTAGTCAGAAGCTTGTCTCATTATTTATTATTTCTGATGACAAAGTAATTAATTGTAATGCTGAGAGGAAACCACAGGTCAGCAGATAAGCAATTATACGTGTGTTTCATGGAAATACTTCTCATTTTAATTTCTAAACCACACAAAGGTATTCATAATCATGTCTGATGCTAAACTGTATAAAGACCCAGGGAATTTACGATATCTGTTTGGCAGATGAGGACAGGGAAATGTATGTTCTCCAAGAGGAAAGGTAGGAAATTGAAAAATAATCTCTGCTATTCAAAAAGTTTTTGTCTGGGAGGAAGATAAGGCACAGAAGTTGTTTCAGAAATGAAAAAGAATTCTATACTACTATACACTGAAGTTACAGTGAAACAGAACATATGGAGACCCTGTTTCAAAATTATTTTACACAGGTTTCTCCTTCTAGTTGTAGCCATTTTTGTACTTTTTCAAAATGAAAGTTTGTATGTATTGTACAGAGACAAAAGACAATGAGGAGATTTAACCCAGTGGACTCTCTCCCTTAAATAAGGACAGTAGCTATCCAGCAATGGTCACAGCAATATAGCCTTTGTCAGAAATGCTGGGACGAATCCTGTTCTATTTGCTCGGGCTTGGCTGGCACTGTGTGCTTGCATGAGCAGTGTGTCATCGCCTCAGTGCTCAGCACAGTTGCATCCATGGCCAACTAGAGTGCCCTCATCAACAGCACGCAGGCCTTTTTCCAGTGATCTCTGCTGTGATGGTGGTGTAATGGCACTTTCTCGAGCACTCCGCTGCTGCATGCCACACCTCTCTCCGCTAAAGACTGAGTGGTAATTGTTACTTTAATGTTTCTCAGGTTCTTTTTCAGAGAGTGAACCCAATGAGGACTGCAGGTTAGCCTTATGTTTTTCCCTGGACCTTGCCATGTCACTGCTTTAAATTGACAACTAGTCCAGCTGACACAGCACCCCACACTTGACACAGTTAGGCTTCGCTGTCAGCTGGAACAAACTTGTTCCCCATTCCTGTCTCACCAGTTCTGTGTCAGATAGGTTCTGCCACATTTTGGCCCATAGAATGGGTCTGGCCATTCTGCCCCAGACTGGTTTCTGTAATGAGGTGTGATGCTGCACTCTTGCACATCTTTCCACATGCTGCTTAAGCAGTCCGGTTAATGTCAGGTAATGTTCACTCCTGTCACCTATGACACTTTAGCAGTCTGTCATGTTGTCAGTGTCGCGGCAGAGGATATCATTATCTGATAGATGATGGAGACGATAGGTGAAAAGAGAGCAGTGGTTATACAGAGTAAGAAGCATCTGAGTAGGACGATACTGACAGCTGATTGGAAGTGGAAGTGACCCTGGTTACCAGGATGTGGGAATGCTGTGCAGACTTTTGGTGTTCTCCTCTGGGGAGTAATTATGGCGGCTGTAGTAAATGCAGTCTGGTCACCAACCAAGACACTAAACGTGACATTATCATCAGCATTTTAATAAGAGCTATCTTATCTGTGATTATGAAAACAACCAAAAACTGTCACTTCTGACTCTCAACAACACAGACAGCCCTATATAGAATCGATTGTAGAGCAGAAATTTGAACAACAAAGCGGTGGTTTTTCAACCACTGTAGAATCACTGAGCAAGTGACTGAGTATGAGAAGAAGAGACTCAACAGCACTGGAACTGTCATATTACTATCATAATGAAAATCACTCCAGTGACAGAAGCTAACAATATCACAGCAAATTACAAGAAACTTGTAAACTACACAAAACTACAGAACAAGACCCAAAGAAACTTGTAAACTGCACTTTCAGTTTAACTACACAAAACTACAGAACAAGACCCACAACATACAGTAACAGTGTTGTATAATGCAATGTTTTATTTTTTACCTTACTGCTGCCCTCAGTTATATTTTCCCACTGTTTTAATAACTTTTCCAGGTAGTATATTGCCTTGGTATTTAACCTTGCAACACGTCCTGCCCAGTGCATCATGTCTGAATCAGCCAATAGTATTTTATGTCTGTAAAAAGATGGATGATGCGACAGTTACCTACTATAGAAGCGAAGCCTCCAAAAATCGATCACCCCGGTCACTGATTGCATAATAGGAATAAACCCCACCCCCTCCATGTTAACAAATGGGACATGAGCCAAACTAAAACTCAGAGTACAAATCAAATACATTTTTTTCCAAAGGTGATTTCTGTTGTTTTTAGTAGATATTATCATGTTGATCTATGTAGACATGATCATCTTTCTGATAAGTTTGTTTTTAAGTTATTTTGATGGCATAAAAAGATGTATTTCAGATGATTTGACAGCTTTGACTTCTAGTCACTACTGTGCAGAATCTGGTTGCACGGTGCATTACAGAACCAAGATGGCAGCTCCCGTATTTGTATTATTTTGGCTTCACTTCACTTCTCACTCTGGCAGGAAGTGGTGTCATATTGTTCATTTTTCTCTACAGTCCATAATCTTCATTGGAAAGTGTAGGTACAAGACATTCATATAAACTTTTGAAATGAAAAACATGTAACTTTTTGTTTGCCAGAAAAACTTCATCATCAAATGACAGGGAGTGCTAAGTGAATCTTTCCCAGAGGAAATTTGTTAATAATGAGAAACCCAAACTCTTTTAGTTGCTGTAAAAACTTGAGCACAGTAAGTAAGTTTAATACATTACTGCACTGAACACCAGTGGGAGTCTAACAAAATCAACCAAAAAGATGAAGCATGGGGGCGTGAAGGCACATTTGTCTTGTTTACAGTCCCCCACAAGCCACTAACAGACATTTCCTCACCCCTCCCAGTTTAGCTAGAAAATGTGTGGTCCTAATGCAGAGCATGGCTGCAAGTAATGATTATTTTATTCATTTATTAACCTGCCAGTTAATTCCTCTGTTAATCAAATAATTATTCATCTATAAAATGTCTGGGGAAAAAAAGCATTTCAGTTTCTTCAAATGACTTGTTTTGTCCTACTGACACTAAACACTTACTTTGCTATTATAGAAAGCAAGAAAGCGGCAAATTTTCACATTTGAGCAGCAGGAAAAAAAAAATGTTTGGCATTTTTTTGCTTACAAACCCCAGAGGAGAGTTCTAGCTGTGTTCATGAAAGTAGTTACAATGTATAATAATTGTTTTCTTGATTTCAAGACAGAGATGCTGTGTCCATAGCCCTCTGCTCAAATCAATAAGACATCATGTGTGAGGGATGTGAGAGAAAAGCCATCCTCCACAATGCACTGGGACCTTTATCAAGGCTCAAACAACTGCCACATTTACATACATCATGCAACAACATCATTGATTGTAATTGTTAATATACTCCATGTCAAATGTATTCTTTGGCCCAGCACTGAGCTAATTAACTTATTAGGAGCAGAGTGTAGCATAGTATCTTGTACAAGGGGTCCCTCCAGGAATTAAGTTTAACATGCCGTAGTTAGACCTTCTAACTCACTGTACTAAACCTCTCACCA